CAGCCGTACATGTTTGAGCCCTTGCCTCGCAACGCTGCCAGTTCTGTTAGCTCTACGCCTGCCGAAGACACAGACGTCCATCCCCGTGAACACTGGGACGGAACTCAATGTCCTACAATTTCCTGAATTTCAACAAAATTGTGTCCCATTTCAGCTCAACACAGAACCATACTTTTATTTTGTTCGTTGAGCGTGGCTTGTATTTCTTGCAATAAGCTAAAAATAATTGGGTTAAATCCCCAAAGTCTCCACTCTGGGTTCCTGAGCAAGATCCTTAACTCCCGGACGCTCCCCGGGTGCCTCGTTATGGGGCGACAGTGCCGTTGGATGTAGGAGTTTGCCCTGAAATCGAAGGATTGACGGTTCAAGCCCCGGCTCATTGTGTCCTTGGGCAAGACACTTGACCTGCATTGTCTACTGATGGTGGTCAGAGCGCCCGGTGGCGCCAGTGTACGGCAGTGAGCCCCAGTGCAGCTGTGTCTACAATGTAGCTTGCCACCATCTGTGTGTGTGAATGGGTGAATGACTGAATGTAAAGCGCTTTGGTCAAGTCTCCTGACTTGAAAAAGTGCTATAGAAGTACATACCATTTACCATTTACAATGGCAGCCCACTGCTCCCCAAGGTGATGAGTTAAATGCAGAGGTAAATTTCACTTCCTTTCTATTTTATTCTGCACTCGATTCCATTCTATTCTAAAAAAACCAACCTAACCCTACCTATCACTGCAGAGGCTCTCCTGCCCATGTTTTTGGGTTTAACAGTGTCCTTGATGCGCTCCAGCTCTTCCTCGTAGCGCTTCTTTTCACGGGCCGCCCCTTCCTTGGCTTCCTTTAGGGCAGCCTCGAGCGCCTGGACCCGCGTCGCCGTGGCACGAAGGCGCTTCTCCATTTTGGGGATCTCACAGCGAAGGCTGGCGTTGTCTCTCAGCAGCTGCAGAAACAGAGCTATGAGACTTCAAAGTTTCTAAGGATTGATATTTGTTGTAAGACGAACTCATGCAGGATCATTGTGTGTTTTACCTGCTTGTGAACCTTTGTGAGATGTTCAAGGTTGCTCTCCAGGAAGCTGATCTTTTGTTTCTGAGCGACGCTGGCTTCTGAATCATCCAAGTCTTGCCCATTCTGTTAAAGCAGAGCTCTATCTTATTGCATTTCCTAGGTAAATCATTTAAACCCCTTATATTATTCCAGATTTTCCACATAAACATACTGTCAATTACAACCCCATCATCCTATGTTGGTTATTTTTAGACACATCGATACAGGTCCTATCAGTAAGTAGCATTATGTGGTGAGGATCCTCTTCCAGAGAATCTAAGGAAAACCGTCCTTAGACTCTCCCTCCTATCAGACTGTCTGGAAAACTGTCACTAAATCTGAGGCTAAAGGACATGATTAGAGGAAGATTTGCATTTTGTGTGAGTTAAAGGAAACGCCTGGATGTGTCTCTTTTTATCTCATCAGGCTGAGAGGCTTAAGATGAGCACCATGCTAAAGCCTCAGGCCCCTAATTTACATCCGCTACCTTTGAAGAATCAGATGGCCTACTTATCGCAGACGTCGTCTCTTGTGTTCCCTGGATTCATTAAAAAATCATCAGGGTGCAAATTAAGCAGAGCCAACAGACGGATGAGTAAAATCTGAAGATGTTGGTCTCGCTTCAGGTAGACGCCCTGGTCTGATCAGTGATGACGATTATCACGCTGAAAATAATTGCCCTTTTTGGTAAGTTTCTTGGTAAGTCTCAGTCAACAGAGCTTAGAAAATGTTTTATTGTAAAGATAGAAGTCTTTGTTCTACCTTTCTTACTCTTCTGGATAAATCTTGCACAAAAAGTCTCCGCAAACTGTGAAGCGTCTGCAGCTCCCGAGCCTAAGAGGTAGATAGAAAGATAAAGAGAAGGAGGGAGAGGGACAGAAAAGAATCAGATGTTTGTAGACATAACAAGCATACCTTATACCACATTGCTGAGACCTTTGTTCTCAGTGGTTCGACCTTTAAAGACGCTGTGATATCTGTGAGATGCAACTCATAACTAAGGGAGCTTAAAGGCAGATCTCAGGATTTATATAGGAATGAAATACTCTAATTTAATGCCTTTTAATCCTCTTAGAAAATAGTTTTAATGCCATCAACAAGTATCCATGACTCTATATCTATATCTATCTATCTATATATATATATATATATATATATATATAAATATAAAACAAAATCATCATCTTTACAATCGACAGACTGCAGCCATGTCCCGAACTCCTCATTTTCCAGCCACAAGTCCAAACATATGGCTTTACGATCAACCGGAAGCAGTTCGGCGCAAACATGCGGTGTCAGTTAGATAAAACTGTTTTGTAAACTTACATTTTTTTTAATCAAGCATTTTAAATGCTTAGTTTTCCAGGGTTTTCCAGGGTCTGTCTGCATGGAGTTTTCATGTTCTCCCTGAGCATGCTTGGGTTCTCTCTGGGTACTCCTGCTTCCTCCCACAGTCCAAAAACAAGACTGTTAGGTTAAATGGCTTCTCTAAATTGTCCTTAGGTGTGAGTGTGTGCATGTCCTGTTTGTCTCTGTGTTGACCTGTGATGGACTGGCGACCTGTCCAGGGTGGACCCCGCCTCTCGCCCATTGACTGCTGGAGATAGGCACCAGCACCCCTCGCCACCCCACTTGGGACAAGCGTGTCAGATAATGGCAGAGATGGGGACTCGAGTTTGTGACTCGTACTCGAGTCGCACTTAAGCTGCATATTTAATGACTTTAGACTCGACTTAGACTTGCATTTGGAGGACTTCAGACTCGACTGAGACTCGTGATTTCTGACTTGTGAACAATATTTTATTTTTAAGTGTTTTTTGTTTTACTAACTTGACTGATCGCCACTCGCCTGAACCGCACAAAGCAGAGGTAAAAAAACAACAAAAAATTGGCAGAAGGGCTGTCAAATTGTCACTTAGCTCTGACGTCACTGACGCAACGCTACGTGGCATATATGCCCGTGCGCATGCATGCACAATCGCCAAGCCAAGTTTTAAAAACTTCATGGCAGTCGTAGAAGAGAAATACCGGTATGTTGTGAATAATGTTGTGAATTGGCACTAAATAAATAAACTGAATTTAATTTAAAATACTGCCTGCCAAGTCGGTTCTGTCTGTTCCAGGGCATTAAGTTACAAAAAGTTATTGCCACAATGTTTCTTTTATGAAAGAATTGTTATTGTCCTGGTATTTATTTAGGGTTTTTATTTATCTGTTGTAGTTGCTAACTTCATATGTATTAATAAAAGGCAGGATTGTGATTGTTTTTTTCCACAGCCCTCATTTTCACTTAAAAATAAAAGAGCAGACATTTACTCCTAAAACTAGAAAAAGTTGTAACCACAAATGTCAGGTAAATACTGTAAGAAAATTGTTGTTTTTGAAAGAAAAAAAATAAAGATGCAAAATTTAACTCGGAAAAAAATGTGAGTGTGTGCTTTTTTAAATTGTATTTTTCATTTAGCAGTTCAAGATAATGATCATTCCATAGATGTAATAGTGACCTTTAAGCTATACCGTCTCAGTGACGGAGATGAAAACACAAGGAGAAACAAGCAAAATATTGCACTTATTTTAATTAATCGAGTGATTAGAATTTATTGTGCGATTAATTGATAATTGTGACAGGCCTTCTCAAGACTTGAGACTTGACTTCGACTTGCAAAAAATGACTTGTGAACATGTCTGGATAATGGATGGATGGATGGATGGATTTTGAATGACGTTTAATGCAAATTGAGGCCTTAATTTAAAAAAAAATATATAATTTAATGACTTTTAATTAGTTTTAATGACCCACGGAAACCCTGGATCTCCTTATCTGTGGTACAAAGCAAAATGCTGATTAATCATACCAAGCAAAAAAAGCTCCAAAACCATCTACTGACCTACCTACCTGCCTAGCTAACTACCTGGATAGCTTGTTACCTAGCTAGCCAACAAACTACCCACTTATATGGCTAGCTAGCTACTTACCTGCCTACTTATCTACCCACTCACCTGACAAACAAACTAGCTAGCTAACTAGCTACCTGCCTACCAACCCACCTACCTACACTTCATGCCACCTACGTACATACCTGGTTAGCTGGTAAGCTACCTTCCCAGCTACCTACCTGCCTTCCCAGCAGCTATGGTGACCAGATGTCCCAGATTTCCGGGGACAGTCCCTACTTTAAATGAACGATTTCACTTCCCCTTTCCCAAAAATAATTGAACTGGTTAACCACCCATGCTACCAAGCTTCTTACCTATATACTAGCAATCTAGATAGCAATTTAGCTACCTGCATATCTACTAGTGTTGCGCCGATGCCATTTTTTGGCCCCGATACCTGGCTGTACAGTATCAGCCAATACCATCTGTTTGAAATTGATGTGTGTATGTATGAAAAACTGCAGACTACTTGGATGTAAAATAATTGCCATCATGGATTTGTCAAGCTGCTGTCTACCTTTGAGAAGCAGGAAAAAGACTAATGCAAAGTGAATCTAGAAGAACTTTTTTGCCTACCTGGAGTGAGGGACAATAATGTGACGATAATGGTATCGGTGCCCTATTTGTTGGTACTTACCGATACCGATACCATTTTAGTGCTGGATCGGGGCCCCAGCCTGATACTGGTATCGGTGCAACAATAATATCTACCTACCTAGCAAGTTACCTACTTCGTCATATGAGGACCATAGATGGCTACAACCTTATGACAACGGATGACCAAACACCCAGAGCAAAATTTATTTATATTAAAGATTCCTTATCAATCAACATTTATTCCCCATGTACTTCTAAAAGGACCTCTAAGAATAACTGACCTCAAACCTGTTACTATATTAACTCAAGGACACATTTATTGGCACTTCTGCTAAACACAATTCATTGCAATGTCATAATTTTACATTTTAGAAAAACAACTATTTGTTTTATCTCATTCATTTAGAGGCAGGTAATTTAACATCAATTTAGATTATATATATATATATATATATATATATAAGATTATATATATATATATATATATATATATATATATATCATCCGGTCAGATTGATTCACAGTTTTCTTTCTAAGGAAAACCAGTTGATTGCATCGACTCATTGACTCGATTGCAATCCCTCACACTAGGAACATTAGGAACTTCTTAGTGGCTCAGTTATTGGACCTTCTAACGATCTCTTTTAATCAATGTATTGTTGTAATTTCTACTAACACAGACCGATTTCTTTTAGGCTCTGGCTGAAAACAAAGTCTCCAAAACTCACTACCACCAGGACTGGCATCTAGGGGTCTTTAGGTTTCTATGACAACCTCTGGATGCCATCTACATACAAACTGGTTGTTTAGAAACGTTCTTCTTTTTGCCCCTACCTTATATAAACATAACTCTAACAGAAGCTCTGCTCAATAGTATACACTGTTGTCCACTAAATAACCATGTTAAATAACAGAAAGGTGTTGATGTTTCATCCTTAACTGCTGCAAAAAGACTTTTGAAAATTGAAGAACTAACTGACCACAGTCTCCTCCAGTCCTTTCAGGTCCTGCCTGGCCTGTTCCCGTTTGTCCTGCAGCAACCTGCAGCACAATAATCAGGTTATAAGGACGGCCATGTGCACCTGGCTATGGGAACAGGTTCTCCTGTGACTAAATATAAAGCTTTACGTGAGCTCCTGTAGCTGGCGGCTCTTCTCCTGTTCGGTCGCTTTGAGCTTCTCATGCTCCACTTTCAGCCTCTCCTGCTCCAGCACGATCTCCTGGTTAGAACTGTGCAGACGGCAGGAACAGAATCACTACAGGTTCTTGCACTATAATTGACAGAGTGAGATGTTTTCGTAGTGGTTTTTCTTACTCCTGCAGCTCCGTGATCAGCTTCTCCTTTTGGTCCAGCTCATCTCTCAAGCTGCTGATCTGCTTCTGATGGGCCTCTCTGTGGGACTGGATCTGCTTCTCCACAGCCTCCTGACACACAGCCATGCAGGCGCACGTTTAACAAGCTGGCATGTCTCAGAGCAGATTTAAGAGCTGTAGACTATACCTTGACTTCATTAGCAGACTGGATCTCATTATCCTTTTCCATGGAATTAACTCTCTCTGAAAAGACAAAAAATAAAATAAATGGTTTAGGTATGGACTGAAATTCTCACCTATTTTGCATTGAAAAATGGAAAAGCAGATAACTTTACTGTGAGCCCAAATTACATGTGTGATAAATTATTTGAAAGCTATCACATTCTGGTTAGCTTACACATGAATATATAATGAAAACTGGGTGAGTAAAACACAACCCAAGCTGCATCAGTTCAAACGTGACTCAGAGTTGTTTTTTTATTCTCGAAAATAAAAGGTCTTTTTTGAACAGGCTGCTTTGTTTGTTTACATTTTGACATGCTGCTATATCTGTGTTAATTGTGCTTTGGTATTCGCTGTGTCCATAAAATGAACTTGGTGGTTGAATTGTGGAGAATCTAATCTTTCCAACGATGTCTAACATGTCTATATTGGTAAACATTATACCGGTTTAATTTTCATGTTTCTGAGTAATTATTTGTAAACGGTGGGTTTTGAGAGGTTAAGACATATGTTTTAGATTAGTATTTATTTTATTTTATTTTAAATTCCGGAGGATTTTCTTCTAAAATCAAATATTCCAAGGTGTTCATCGTGATGCTAATCACTGTAAGGTTTGAAGGGCCTTGGAATGGGATACAGGTGTCACAGTCTTGGTTTTGTTATGTTTATTTAGCTTTACTTTGCTCCTTGTTTTAGTCTTTAACTATTATTTTGTTGTTTTCTTGTTAGTTACTGTCTTCCAGGTTTTCCATTTGTTGTCCTCTGCTGCCCTCTTGTGTC